TTATACAAGGTTCTGTCCGAGATGAAAAAACATTACTTCCGTTTACAACCACGCAGTTGGGATGGCCCCTGATGAGTCGGCAACAGCGACTAGAGACGTAATCGATAGACTGAGGCACGAATCCATCAGATAAGCCGAAAGACTTATATTTACTCACAGAGAGCACACACTCACTCAGCACACTTCTCATTCATTCAATATAGAGAACAGCATGCGACACTCTCATCCTAGGTTACGGGTGGGTAAGGTCCACATACCTCTACATCCATCCCGTATCATATAAATTTAACACCAACACAAACAATTCCAATGCTTAGACCCACAGTCACTGTTCTGCGGGGTACTGTTGTAACCGAATCTGTCCAGAATTATAAACTCTACCGTACATCACTCTTTTAACCAACATTTCCAGCAAATTTGGGTTCAAACCACAGTCATCACGTGCAACCCGAAGGAACCACCCCAATAACCGGTACAAGACAAAGTCCTTAACTCTACCTTGCGGGCTGCCGGTTTCCGTGGTACCAGATTATGTAGTTCTCTAGTTCGACCCCAGACTAGAGGTACTGGTAGCACCTCTTTTCCCTAGTATTACAAGAACACCAAGATTAGGGTCTTTCATCAACACTAACACCTAGCAGATAAACACACGGATATAGTTGGTTTGCTGACCTATATTAACACTATGCTTCGCTACCGACTTTGTAAGGCTTTATAAACCGTTACTTACGAAGTATTATGTGGATCGTCTGGCCGAACAGCATACAGCTTTTTATGGTCGGTCATGCACTAGGAATCAATATTATTAGCAATCCGATATGTAAATGTGGTTTATCTATAGGTACTCTAAAGAAACCCTATGATATCTTATGCTCAGCTCTGGATTGTAATCCTCAGTGTAGTTACAGAATAGGTATACCGGAGACTGATCAACGTAGAACATGGCGAGAAAATATCTATAGATATTAAAAACGAAAATAGTTTGGTAAAGCCCTAGGAACTATAGGAAAATATATGTATATGTACATATATAATGAACTTTTTGATCACTTTAAACTTTTAACCCTTACGATTTATTTATAACTCTTAAATGATGTATGAATTGTATTCATATCTTATACGGTTCATAATTATTGGTCTCTAAACATGGGCATATAGGGTATTTTTGGACAAAATTATAAATGTTGACGGCTTAATAGCATTGGAACCGATTATCGGATTATAACGAATGAGATTTCATTCGACAGGGCTACGATTACTCATCATATACATATATATACAGCATGAAATGGAAAATATCTTTTATCCTAGTCTAAATGAGTGGTCTCCGGTAGGTTAGTGTTCTAGCCTGGTAGACCGTAGGTGGTGGTGGGTTCGATTCCCACCTAAGGCACTGGTAACAGGCCCGATAGAGGCCTAGGTGTATTTCTTCGGATTTGATGTCTAAAGGAACTGTACTAAATGTTTGTTAGCTGGAATAAAACTCAATGATTCTAAAGTGATGATGTTCAGTAAAGAGTTTTAACAATTCCGATTCATATAGAGATTCTATTTAATAACTAAAGCCAGCTAGAGAAAGACTTGCAGCTATACCAATTAAAATAAGTTAAACTCTTACTTAAAAATCACTCCCTGAAGCGGCAAAACTTTGCATAGTGTTTAAGAAAATACAATTCAACAATTCGGAACAATAAACAAAATACCGCGTAAAAAGTTCAAAGTGCGTTGTGTGTCATTTTAATTGCCAACATTAAATGACAATTTATAATGAAAATGCGTATAAAAACCAACAAACACACTCAATACGAAAGAGATAAAGACGATTTTGTACAAAAACATGTCTTTTATAAAACAAAACTAAAAAAACATATTTTGTAGTTTTTATTTTATTATTAGTGAGAGACTCATTAATTTATTGTAACGATAACCTTTTGTTGATCTCAACATATAATTTATGTATGAAGATGACGATTTAAGTTTTAGTAACAATATTAAACAGAAAAAAAAACAAGCTCAAACTAAGAATTAGTAACAATAATAAACAAATGCCCCTTTCCGGGTTCCCCTGAACTGTGTGTGTGTGTTAAATCCTTTCAAATTAAAATTATACTTAAGCATAAGAGGGTTGTTTTAGAAGTTTTTGGCCTCCTCGATAGAAAATAAAACTTTTTTCATATTAAAAATTTTTGTAAAAGATACATGGTAATTAGTGCTGGAACTAATTATGATTCATATATAAAATCTGGTATTATTTTCTAATTCAATCAAAATCTGTTAGTCAATTATTACTGGTATTAGCCTAACTACAAATATGATAAATTTATTTATACTGAAGTCTGCTGGTGTTACTGAACTGATTTCATTTATTAAAATTCATATTTATATAGTTTAATGTGTGTGTGCGTGTGTGTATCTGTGTTAATATTTGTTAAAGTGGCAAATGTAATTTGTTTGCAAATGATTTCAGTAAAACCATAAATTATAATAAAAAATAATGAAAACAAATTAAATGTATTTCATTCATTTATTTATTTATTTATCTCGACTATAGATTTAAAATTATACTGTATGTTTGTATGTGTAACAAATTAATATTTCGTTCATTTCTGGTTTAAATAAACAAAAAAAAAAAAAATAATAATAATAATAATAAATAAATTTAAAAATTTTTTTCTGAGTTCATTTTAAACTACACGCCGTGATCGTTTGTTAGCTTGTTCGTAACTCTAATTATATTTTTATTTTTTTGGCACATGTTTAAACTGATAATGATCGATATTTATTTTTTTTTTTGTATTTGATGATACGTTTATATGTAGTTGCTGTTGTTGCCTGATCAATTTTTGACATGCCATCTATTACAAATCTTAATTTATGATATGAAACACATTTATGTTATTGATTTGGTTTTCATTTAATTGTTTAGATTTTTACGTAAATTGCATGTAAATTATTGTTAAATTAAGACAAAATTATAGATTTTTACCTAAAGGAATTTTTATAGGGAAATTGACATGAAATTTGTTATTATTCATATTGATTTCTATTTTTGGTTAAAAATATATTGATTTTCAGAAATTTTTGCAAAATATCAAAAATTTTTGCTAATTTATTTCAATATGTTTTTTTGGTTATGTGGAATTTTTATTGCCAAAGTGATCCATATTTAGAAGTTTTCATATTGTTTTTGTTAAAAAGTATTTATTAAATTTCTATAAACATGCACAATTCGTTTAAATTGAAAAATATTCAAAGAAGATTTATGAATTTTCATAAAATGCGAACGTTTTACTATTGATAAAAGAAATGAAATTATAGTCGTACGAGAATTATTATTCTCGAATCGGAGAAAAACAGATTTGAAGTTACAATCCCAGTTTTGCATGATTGAAATAATAAATATATTTTTTCATATTAAGTATCTTTAGAAACATATGAATGTATATAAATGGGAAATATTCGATCTCTTCAATCCGATCAAGTTTGCAATCCGAGAAATACAATCGAAATTTTTACAAGTTACATTTTTAAGACACCATTTTAATTACACAGCTCAACAAACTGAAGGTTTGTAAAAACCAATTTGACCCGATTTTTCGAAATTGATTCACAATTTTGTCGGAATATGATATTGAAAATTTAGTTCGTATAGTATAGTAATTATAAAATATATTTTCGTTTGGGGGTTAATTTTGATTTTTTTCGATACCATTATAAATATGAATCTTTATTATATATATTTCTCAAGTTCCATTTAAATGGAAGTTTCACAATATCACAAAAAATTTACTTTGACTTTCACAGTATATAGGTTATTCGATTTGACTAAATCTTCAGATATATGTTTACTATTATCCGGTATTTTATATTCTGAAAAGGTTTGATATTAAATACATAACAGTAAGGCTAATTAAGGCTAATTTCTAAAAATTTTACTAAAAAATAATTATGTCCGATATTCTCAAAATCCAAATCGCAGTTCATGAATCACATGGAGAGTTTCTAAAAATGTCACTAAAAAAATGTTTAGAAGATTGAAATTGGTGTTTTGAAACTGACGTCTGAAGGGCTTTATATACATAAATACATACTATATGTATAATTATACCCAAACATTTTACAAAAGTCCTTTAAAAATGCCCCTCTAGAGCCACGGCGGCACCAGTTAACGTGGTCCTACCGCCCTAAACTATTCCATAATTCATTTTAATAACTTACGCTATAAATTTAGAGGCAGAAAGGGTCATAATTCAATGTTTAGAACACAAGTACATACATATGCTATTAGGGGGAATAAAAAAATCAAAATTTGTAAAATTGGTGGGTGATACGATTACATATTCGGAATGAACACACCAAATAATACTGGGAGTAGTGAAGATTCTGTAAAAAGTTATTTCAAAGTTGACCTGTGTCCCCAACTGTTAACATTTTGTAATCTGAAATTTCGTATCAATTTCCATCTAGTGAATAAAACAACACTTTAATGTATAATTTGAGAATACTTGCAGATATCATCTGTGTCAACGATCCACATTAGTTTAGAAAAGTTTTATTTTTGAAATAATCTAGTATCTCGTAAACTATTGGAGATATCGTAGGAAAGCTAAGGAATAGCTGTTTGGCTTACTAGGTTTTTGTGCAGAGAAAATGGTAAAACTTTTAGAGTGGTTCTATTTTAATTCAAATTTCAATTAAACACTTAGTTTTGTCACAAACCATAAATTCTTGAAGCTATCTCTAACCAGATAAATGATAAGTTTTCTTCCACTTAATAATTCATTAATTACCATATAAAAAACAACAGATTGCATTTATTTATCATCATCGTTTTTTAATTACACAATTGCAATTTAATTAAAAACACACACAAAATGCAACAGCAGCAATAACAACAACATAAAAACAAATAATTTAAACTAATTAAATATCGTACTCTATTTTTTTATCGCAAAACAAACAAATGACACAAACTAAATGGGAATTAAAACCCACTCTAGAAAACAGGAACAAAACAGCATCATCAGCAGCACAAAATTATCATTATTACTTGGAAAAACAGCAACAAAGCAGGAGCAAAAGTTGTTGTTGTAGGGGACATATTGAAAAACAGATTTTTTAAAGAAGATAGAGCAGAGTGCCAATAATAAGGACTACTGCTGCTGCTGGTACTAACACACTAACAACTAAACACTATCTGCTGCTGCTGCTTTTGCTATAATGGAACTCGTTAATTTACTTATTGATCTAAATGACGACAACCCATGAATGGTGTTTGGGTAATGTTTACTTAGGATCCATCTAAAACTCAAATAATAACAACACCAAGACCAATCTATGGATGTATTGTCTGTCTATTTGTTTGTCTAAAAGTCTGTCCGTCTGTCTATCCCAGCGTCTTTATAAACGTTTGTCTTTTTAGTCTTTGTTTAACTAAAAAGTGTGTCCAACCAACAACAAAATTCCTATAAAAACAACACTAACATACAATAATAACAAAAAAACAACAGCAACAACACACCATTTATCGGAAGCCATATGCAAAAAGTAACAACAATAACAACAACCACAAGACAGTTAGCTCAGCAGCATTATTAAAATAAAAACTCTTAACGAGCGTAAAATGTAACTATTAAAAGTAGTAACGCCCCTCTGGAACAATCAGCTTAATATCTCCACAACAACAACTACAATAACAATAATAATAACTTAAAATTACAGCAACAAAATATCACTAACAACACACTATCACACAATAGCAGACATGTTACTTTAATTATTTTATCCACAAAAAAGAGAGAAAGAGATCGTAATCATACATTTCATTCACTCTTAGGGCAAACAACCACCCTACAAAGATAAAATCCACATATTCAAATGGTTAAACACTGGATAAAAGAGAAAACATTATAACATTGCTAATGTTAGAAAGAGAGAGACAGTGATAACATGTATAAACTAAAAGAGTAGACCAAACAGTAAAAAGAGAATTTTGTTAATGAAACCGGTTGCTGTTTATTGTGTGTAGCTCTGGTTTTTGTTGTTGCTAAAGAAGAGCAGCAAAGAGCGAGGTAAAATTCCCACAGCGGATACTTAGAGCCCTCGATGAGTATTTGTGGATTATTCTGACATCGTTTGTCGTTGAGTAAACACACGTTAAGAGTACGTCCGTGATAAAAAATAAAAGAAAAAAAATATATAAAAATTTCTTTTAAAATAAACAAAAAATTCTACAAAAGAGAAAATCATTTTGAAAATTTATCAAAAGAAATACCAAATAAAACGAAAAGTTTTCTAACTTTCTTAACAATATTATACAAAAAAAAGAATCTATGATTTTATGGAAATTATAAAAAATCTGAAAGAAAAAAGTGCTAATATTAACTCCACCATAACCAAGGACTAAAAGTAATAAACAAATTGTTTATGTGTAGTGATCAATTAAAAAAACAAAGTTTTTAACTATTAAAAACTTAAACACGCCAAAACGGATTTAACAAGTGAAATACAAACGCAGACGCCCAGCGCTTTATTAAAACGCGTATTTATGACTAAAATGATTCCGCCGGTACCCACATCAGCAGTCATGATGCCTACGCCTAAACAAAAGATCGGCTTTAGCATTGAGTCGATCGTTGGCAATGATGCCTCCTCGGCCGCAAATACCGTCGGTGAAAACTTAAACGGTTCCACTAGTACAAATTCCGATGACAACAACTCCACCACAAATCCCTCCTCGCCACCACAAACACCGCCAGCCGGTATCACCTCATTGCCTGGTTTACACAATCCTCATATTTTGTCGCAACATCCTCATATGGCTCATCATTTGTCGATGGCCCAACAGCAGGCTTTGCATCAACATTTGCTGATGCAACATCAACAGCAGCAACAACAGCAAAACTCACAAAAACCTGATATATCGGATATTATACAACGTTTACATAATTCAGCCCAAGCGGCACATTTGAATAGCAATAATGGCCCTTACAGTCCTCCCGCCCATACACGTCTCTCACCTGATCATGAGTCTGTCAATAACCAACATCCTGCACCTCAAATTCACAGTCTGAAACGTGAAAGATCGCCTGAAAGAGGCAATGAAAATGTACAAAATCCTGCACAACGTCATCAACCTCCACATACACCACCCAAATCAGTGTCACCTCAGTCTTCATCACATGCTTCCCCACCACCTGCCAATATGTGTAACAGTCCCGCCACTCCTCAGCATTATGGTAAACCTTTAACAAATCCCATGACACCGGGTTCAATGCCCATGTTAGTACCTGGTATGCCTCCGGCTAATATAGTGAGACCTTTCCCCATGGGCCCAGGACAAGCACCACCACCACCTCCTCATGTAGCACAACCTGGAATGCCTGATATTAAAGCTTTACCTCCCTACATTAATGCACCACCAGAAATGCCTCCTCAACACAATCCTCATTTAATAGCCGCCGCCCAGTTCCAAATGGCTTTACAGGCCGGACATGTTTTGGGACCAGCAGCTGCGGCTGCAGCCGCTGCCGGTTTACCTCCCCATGCTGGACCATTTATGCCCGGTTCCGGCATGCCCAGAGATAGTTATCCCTTGTATCCCTGGCTTTTAAGTCGTCATGGCAGAATATTTCCTCATCGTTTCCCAGGAAGTAAGTATTTGAAATCATTATTATAACAAATGACTATTAAATTAAATAGTTATTAGCTAAAATCCCTCTCTTCTCTCTCTTAAAAAAACAAACACTAATTTCGAACTTTTCTCTTTTGCTTTATTTTAGATTTCTTGCTACAACCTTTCCGCAAACCTAAACGCATACGCACCGCTTTCTCACCTTCACAACTTTTGAAATTGGAACATGCCTTCGAAAGCAATCAATATGTTGTGGGAGCCGAACGTAAAGCTTTAGCACAATCCCTCAATTTAAGCGAAACCCAAGTCAAAGTTTGGTTCCAAAACCGACGCACCAAACACAAACGCATGCAACAGGAAGATGGCAAAGAGGGCTCCGATAGAAACTCACAAAACGCCAGCTGCGATGAAGATGATGATGAACTCATCGATATGGAAATGGATGACTGTGGCAGTGATGATGAGCATGAATACGAACAAAGTCATTAAATGTTCCCAAAAACAAACAGAAATTTGGATTCTGGGAATCCTTGTGTAAATACCAAATTGTAAAATCGATTTAGCAAAAGCGTGTTGTGAGTTCCTTATTTATTAGTTATTTGTGTTGTGAAGCTGCTGGAGAAGGTAAAGCAAAAGAGAAACAAAACTTTGAGAGCGAAATTATCTCGCTTGTGCTGAGTTTTAGTTTACAAAAAAAAGTTAAGAAAATCTCAGTTTTGTTTTAAGTTGTTTGTGACTTGTGATATATTTCTAACATTATTATCATTCCTAAAATGATAATTTAATAATTAGAACCAATTTTTTTTTTTTTTGTATTAATTTGTGTTTTTATTATTATTATTATTATTATTTTAAAGAATTCTGTGTAAATTGTATATAGATTCATGTAGGGAAATTAGCTAAGAGCTTTTTTATTCCTTTATTTTAAAAATTTCTTAACAAAGTCATATGTATTGGTTTTAACTTTATAATAATTTTCATCTTGTTTAGAAAAATTTCTTCATATTCATTCTTAAAACTCATACCATTTTTGTATTATTTACTTCTTTTTTAGTTTTGTAGTTTTAAGACTTTAAATAATTTTTTGTTTAAATAACAAAAATTTTGTACATACTACTAATTAGTTTTTTAAGATTTTATACTATAAGTTTTGTTTAGTGTAGTAGAAAAAAAAAAAACAAAGACAAAAAGTTCATAAAAAAAAACATTATTACAAATGATGATAAAAAATATATACAAATATTAAAAAAATTAAATTATCTGGTGTTTTTAATTAAAAAAGTTATTTTAACTAAATGTTTTGAAAGTTTAAAGAAATAATTGAAAATATTTGTTAACTCTTAACTAAGAAAATATCTGACAAATATCTGACTTTAAAGAACTTTTGTAAGTACAAATATTTGATAAAAGGAAGTTGTTGCCGAGAAATTCTTCAAAGAAGAAAATTTCCCTTTTGAAAAGTTTTTACTGTATTTCAAATATATTTATGTTCTTATTTCTAAAAATCAGAAAAATAAAAAAAATCTTAAAACACACAAAGTCATTAACTAAAAATCGTATTTCAAAGATTCTAATCGCGTGTTACTGGACTAAACTTTTTCTTCGTTTGGCCTATAGAAAATTAAAAATAAAAAAATATATTAAATATTTTGTTAAATTTTTTTCCTATATCGCGGCTGTTGTTTTTGGTCTGTGTAATTTCCACTTAATGATAGTTGCGTGTTGAAATATGTTTTTAATTGTTGAATAAATATTTAATGATTTTATATGGTGATTTTTAATGTTCTGATTTTATTTCTATATAGAAAATAACAAAAACAATAAAACATTAAGAACACACGTAAAGAATAATTGGTGAATCAATATATTAAATATTATAAAAAACAAGTTAGAGTGCTAAATTCGGCTGAGCCGAATCTTAAATACCCTCCACCAGCTACTTTTATATTAAGACTTTTCTAATTGGTAAAATATTTGTAGAAATAAGTTATCTCATGTCTTAAATTGAAAAATCCCAAGATTTAAACAGCTTAAATCTATTACTTTAAAGGATTTTCAAAATACATATATAATCTACACAAATTGCTAATGCAACTAGTTAAATACGGTTAAAGTGCTTTCAGGGACAGGACCTAGATATGACCAATTATAGTCCGATCGTAAAAAATTCTTTAAGCTAAATTTCTGTACATAAAAGCTATATTTCAGTAAAATTTTATATCTATATCGTAATTTAGTAATAAGTAATGTGTGTTTAAGTGATTTTCGGAAGGGAACGTGAGAAATCTTGAAATAGAATTTTTGTATACAAAACTAATATTTGTGGCAAATTTTGTATCAATAGCTTTATTTGGTAATGAGTAATGTGCGTTTAAGAGATTTTCGTAAAAGGACATTGTATGGTTGGACTAATCGTGAAAAAATGTTGAAATAACATTTATGTGTACAAAAATAGTATTAATGCCAAATATTTTATGGGTATCACTATTTCCTAATGAGTTATGTGCCTTTAAGTGTTTTCTGAAAGGCACCTTGTATAGCAGTTATGATCAATTATGGACCGATAGGAAAACAATTTCACAGTAATATTTCTCTGTATATGAGCAATACTTCTGCCAAACTTTATAGTTAGTAATGAGTTATGAGCGTTTAAGTAATTTTCGGGAGGGGACCTTGTATGGGAGCTATGACCAATTATGGACCGATCGGAAAAAAATGTTCATAGTAATATTTCTATGCATGTGGGCAATTTTTATACCAAATTTTATATGGATATCTTAATTAAGTAATGATTTATGCGCGTTTAAGTGATTTTCGGGATGGGACCTTGTATGGGAGCTATGACCAATTTTGGAGCGATCGGAAAAAACTTTCACAGTAATATTTATATGCATATGGGCAATACTTATACCAAATTTTATATGGATATCTTAATTTAGTAATGAGTTATGAGCGTTTAAGTGATTTTCGGGAGGGGACCTTGTATGGGAGCTATGACCAATTATGGACCGATCGGAAAAAACTTTCACAGTAATATTTCTGTGCATATGGGCAATACTTATACCAAATTTTATATGGATATCTTAATTTAGTAATGAGTTATGAGCGTTTAAGTGATTTTCGGGAGGGGACCTTGTATGGGAGCTATGACCAATTATGAACCGATCGAAAAAAACTTTCACAGTAATATTTCTATGCATATGGGTAATACTTATACCAAATTTTATATGGATCTCTTAATTTAGTAATGAGTTATGAGCGTTTAAGTGATTTTCGGGAGGGGACCTTGTATGGGAGCTATGACCAATTATGGACCGATCGGAAAAAACTTTCACAGTAATATTTGTGTGCATATGGGCAATACTTATACCAAATTTTATATGGATATCTCAATTTAGTAATGAGTTATGCGCGTTTATGTGATTTTCGGGAGGGGACCTTGTATGGGAGCTATGACTAATTATGGACCGATCGGAAAAAACTTACACAGTAATATTTCTGTGCATATGGGCAATACTTATACCAAATTTTGTATGGATATCTTTATTTAGTAATGAGTTATGCGCGTTTAAGTGATTTTCGGGAGGGGACCTTGTATGGGAGCTATGTCCAATTATGGACCGATCCAGAAAATTTTTCTCTGAAAGAATTCTATTGACATAAGATTTTAATTTGTAAAATTTTGTGAAGATATCGATATTGTGATGGAAGTTATTAAGGAAAAACCCATTTTCCGGGAATATGTACTTTTGTATGGGAGGTATATGAAATTGTGGACCGATTCTGGAAATTTTCTGCACGAATCAAGATCTTGTGTAGAAACGAATGTATGGTGATTTTCATGGAATTATCTTGCATAGTTTTGGAGAAAATTACATTAGAATGTGTAAAAAATGCTTATTTTTTTCGAGGTTGTTTTAAATTTTGATTCATAACTTTTCCCGATGTGAACCGATTTTGCTCATTTTCAATACCAAACTGTACCGGATAATAATGAATACTTTGGGTGAATTTGGTTAAATGATATTGCTTCGTTTTAACGTGAGCGTGTTTTACACAGACAGACAGACAGACGGACGGACGGACGGACGGACAGACGGACATAGCTAAATCGACTCAGAATTTCATAAGGACCCAGAATATATATACTTTGTTGGGTCTCAGATGAATATTTCTTGGTGTTACACACGGAATGACAAAGTTATATATACCCTCTATCACCACTGATGGTGGTGGAGGGTATAAAAACGTATAAAAAAACATTTAAATTGATTACAGAATAGGCAATCAGTTGGTGAATATTTTGATTAAACTGGATTTAGTTAATTAGTTTCATATCATACATCAAATCTGAATAAATACACCTAGGCATTAATCGGGCCAGTTGTGCGCTCCTCTACCAGGGCCTAAGTTGGGAATCGACGTCGGATGTTTTATAATTGCAGTAGACAAAGAACTAGTTCATTAAAAGAAGGAAAAAAATGTCAGATCAAATCGTTTGATACAATCGGGGTATAATTGCCGACGGTGATTAATTTAATAGAACAATTCGGAAAAGTATTCTTGCAAAAATTTATTGTTCGCTCCGGAACAATACGAGTCATACTCGGGGTCAGCAAAAATTTTCTCTAAGAAAAACATTTATTGTCCACAAGGAATTGGTTATACAGACGAAATATTTTTTAAGTAAATTTTGAAAATCTTTTCAACATGAACATGAATTTTAAAACAAAGTCTATTGTTTTTTATCATTATGAGTTTAAAGTGATAAAAACGAATTGTGTTTGTTAAATGAATTTTTGGGATTATTGCCAAATTATTAAATAATTTTTTGTTAAATTAAAATCATTTTCCGCAAATGTAGCTCATTAATTATATATATGTTTCTACAATATAATAAATAGTCTTTTGGAATAGCAAAGGAAAAACAAAGAATTGAATTAAAAAATTTAACTTTTAAACAATTTAAGCTTTGAGTGACACCTCTTTTGAAGAAAGATTATTATATTTAAAAGAGATTAAGTATTAATTTTACTAATTTTGGAATAATTAAATGTTAGACAATTTAAGAAGGAATAGTCGATGTCCATTCATTCAATATAGCGGCACTATCTCGTTAATTCTAACACTTAAGCCCTCGAAAAAGTAATACGGTAGTATCAAAGCGCATAATCGGGGCAGATGGGTAATTTGGTCTGTAATAAATTTGTAGCTTCGGTGGCACATCTTAGTGATACCTATACCATTAATAATAGGTCAAAAATTAATTATCAACAGCGCTCAAAAGCGTTTACTCACCGTAATCTCACATCTAGCAGAATTCTAATCTTTTTCAATACTTCAGCTCACCGCTGCTATATTATCTCTTTAACGACCTGGGAAATCTCCATTTAGATTCTATTGAGATTTCGATATATATCGTATGCCGTAATTTGGGCCCTGGTCGTGAGGAGAAGGATAAATGGTCTGAGAATTTATATAATGCCAGACAGCGTCAAGCAGCGCTGCTCAAAGCCGTACTATCGTATGAAGTTAGATCAGGTGTTATTTTCCGAATGAACTGGGTAAACGTAACAAATTAACATTATTTTGGATATCGGGTCATGAAGGTCATACTGGTAACGAACGGGCGAATTGCTAAACAAATAGAGGCGCTCATCCCCCACTTATCGGACCTGAACCATTCTTTGGTATCGCATAAGGACATGTCAGACACAGATGCGAATCATCGCTCGAATCTAAATTTGCTCGCCACTGGGAAGCTACAACAGGGCTTAGACAGACAAAGCGCTAAATTACGCCATCAAGGGGAAAATTCCAAAAGTTACTATCGCTAAACACGGAACTCACGGGACATTGTGATCTCACAAATGATCCAAAACATGGTGGCAGTGCTTAGGGCCCTCTCCAATCTAATCTAACGCCCTGG